AACTTATATAATATAATCCCATTACCCATTCCTTATGACATATCGAAACCCGACACTTTTGTCCTCATCGAGCCGACTAGCTCATATGTAGCAATCACAGCTGATCGCATGTTCTACTCACCGATAAATGACGTCAACAAGTGCAAGGTTATCAGTGAGAAATGTTATGTGTGCGTACTCTCTAATGTGTTTTCAGTGATCGCCAATCCTACGTGCGAAACGACTCTTTTAAGTGAAGTGGTTAAAAAGCTTCCGGAAATATGCGTGACGAAATTGATACACGGTTCAATCGACTTATTTTATAAGGTGTCTTTTAATCGCTGGATTTATGTCCAGACGGAACCAGGGAAGTGCCATATAACTTGTGATAACAGAGATGTAAATTCAGATGTCATTTTATTCGGGACTGGTATCTTAGAATTGCCTAAAACTTGTAAAGCATTTTTCAAAACCTTACAGTTCACTGCCCTAGGCGAAACGTTAATCGGTAATGTAACAAATAAAATATCCAATTTTAATATCTTACAAGATGACTGTTGTGACAGGTCAAGGTTAAACAAAACCTTAAATCGATTACCGTATACTAAGTTAAATAACTTGAACAACTTAGATTCATTATTACACGCCAGCATCCATCTTAACTCTTTTGAAGAAGAGCTTAATAAATTAGAAAATTCTTCTCATTTCGAAACATATGGCACTCATTATATGTCCCTGAGTTTCATAACTAGTATCTTAATTTTAATATATATATTGTATAAAAGTCGCAAGGCTCTTTTTAAGCCTAATTCGTCTTGTTGTATACAAATATTCAATCAATGTCATAACTCTAAAACTAACTCTAATCCTATATCTCATATGGTGATCCATGGAGATTCACCGAGATCCTTAGAAGAAAATGATTCTGAGTCTGTAGAGGAGGCTACGCAAATAACGCCGACCCCTACTAAAAGAAACATTGTATTTTCTAAATATCATAACAATTAACGAAATTTATTCAAATTGTATACTCTAGTATTTCCCAATCTTTAGTTGTAACCTTTTTCAGTTCTTAGTAGCCTTAGTTAATTTCTCTATTAGTTTATAGTCTCCATTAGTTAAAACTAATGAATATAACTTGTATGTATACTGTCTGCCAAACGGAAATCCAATTACGACTCATCTCGCGTCGGTCTTGAAATCTCTCATCACTTTAAGATGTAATGATCGATCTTAACGGGGGGGTTGTTATATCCGAAATTACATGGGTTAAAATATAAAATAAAATCGCTGAGTTTCCCATTGCATTTACGTCAATGCAATAGGAAACCGAAAACGCGTGCAACCGGGCATGCGCGGAGCAGGCAGTTCGGATTGGATTTGCATGAGGCATAGACCTTTTCTTTGAGAATAAAGTTAAGTGTTTTAAAAATAGTTTTTTTTAAAAAAGCTTTTCCTGACCCGCCCCGTAACAGTACGTTTAGGAGACTGGTATCATGGCTATGGCATCACAGTACATTTACTCAAATGTTTTATATGCCGTAAAAATATATGTACATAACTTCAACAAGAAAGAAGATATCCATAATATTAACCTTAGAGCTAAGTCCAAACTCATGTTCCACGATTTCATTTAACCAAGGTACGACTCATTTATGGGGAACTGTATACGTTTTTACAATAAGATTCCGGAGCATATATTACAATTATCATTTCCTAAGTTTAGAAACTACATTAAAAATATTTTGATTGAAAAGTCATATTACAAAATTGAAACTTGTTAGATAACTATGTATGGAAAGGCGACATGGCTCCAGAATCCACACAACTTTGATTCAAAGTGTGTTCCATTGCATTTAAGTTAATTTGAAAAGAGCAATCCCCAGAGTTTCTCGCTCGTTGTTCTCAGGGAAGTCAGCGTAGTGAACGAGCAGTAGCTTAAATGTTACGTTTTCAAGTGTAATTTTTTTTTACCTATGAAATAAATGATTCTTTGACTTTGATTTAGAACTTTGTTTTGTAAATCAAAATAAAACAATAAATTTAGATGACAATGATTGAATCATTGTCATCTAAATTTTGGCCTGTTACTATGGATATCACTAACACGGTGGTTTCAACAAGACGGTGTGCCACAAGTCACACTGCCACCGAAACAATGAATTTATTGCAAACCAAATTTCCCAATCGCATAATTTCACGAAATTCAGCCGTTAAGTGGCCAGCTTGATCATGTGATTTAACAACGCTGGATTATTTTTTATTTTAAAGAGTTAGAGTCTTTACTCTGTCTTTAACATAACTCCGCATAGACGGAGCCAATCGAATCGATTGCTGCTTTAAAACTCAAAATTCGTGAAGTGATTTAACAAAAAAGACCCATCATCATGTCATCAATGAAAGAATCGACATCTGTAACTGTGGACGTGAGTCAAATAACTTTTTTCATTAATAATTGCCAAACCTTACATTTTTAATCCAATAAACTTTTAAACTGCCTCCGTGGCCGAACGGTTACCATGCCGGACTGCCACGCAGAGGTCCCAGGTTCGATTCCCGGGCCGGGAGAAAATATTTGTATGGCCTACATTTATTTCTCTCGTGAGTTTGGGTGTAATTTGTGGTTGTCTATGTGTGTGTCCATGGCACCCGCGACACAGGGTTTCCCTAGTGCGGGGCTATGTTGAGTGTGAGCGTTATTATTATTGTTATTATTATTAATAAAAATTTTAGTCATTGTCATCTAGATTCATTGTTTTATTTTGATTTACAAACATTGACTTACAATTATATGGACGTCGCGTCCGCGCTAAAAAGTGTCCGCACTTGTAAGGCGCTAAAATCGTATACAGAGCGCCAAACTCCGCTTTAGTCTTCATTTGTTCTACTGACAGCGCGATACTGCGATGACATTACAATTTAAATTTCGAATAGGTTGACTTGGGACATTTTTTTCGTGGTTTTTGTATTAGACCCGTCGTCCATTTATTTGTAAGTCAATGTTTACAAAACATAGTTCATGTTGAGAAACCCTTTACTATGCTTACAACAGTTTAAGTTAAATGGGAATGTTACCTTTCAACACAAACATTGAAAATATATTGTAACCACATGTTGCCCTTTCATCTTAGAAACTATACATGGCGTCATCTGCGCGTACAGGGCCTCAGTCGCGCTATAGCCGCGCGTATGTATCGCGCATTCGATTTAAACGCGCGTTTGGTTAGGCTCTTATTATTACACTATCCTGCGTATGGCCCACTTTTGGAGTCTCGCATGACGCACTGCAGGATTGCGGGACGGCTTGCACGTTACGACTGGAATCGTTATCCTGCATTATGCGGCAGACGGCAAGCCGGACGGCAAGCCGGACTGCAGTGCAGGACAATGAATTTTTTAAATTTTAATAGTGTTGCAATTATGTTAAGTTGAAAAGGCCTAAGTAGTTACTTGCGCTCATCTTACTTACTAATTCAGTATTTTACGATTATTTTTTTACTATAATTTTTTTTATCGTCTCTGGTTCGTCAAACGACGCCCTTTGAGCTGAATTTTCAATCGGCAAAACATATGATTATTCAATATAATAGTGGAGTAATTTCGCAAAAATAGTTGAATATCATGACAGTAAAACATGGTGATATTCACAACATCAATATTACAAATATATGCTTTAAATTAAAAAAAATGGTTCTTTTTCGTATAAGAAAAATATATACGCGGATGTAATGGACCTTCTGTCGGCTAGGGAGTTAAATAGTTGAACGTATAATTGATAATATTCCTTATCGTCTTTGTGTAGTAGGAGAACCAAGACATTGTCTTCGTGCTCCTATCAGTAGGAGTAAGTAGGAGCCCTAGGAAGAGCGAACATGTAAATTGAACTAATTAACTCGACTAAAGAAATAACGTTAATAGCATTATTTATATAAAATAATCTTTTTATTTATTTATCCATCAACAATATGAGTTAATGGCTGTTAAAAATATTATTTTATATAAATAATGCTATTTTAACGTTAATTTTTTAAGTTTAGTTCATTAGTTCAATAATGAATACGCAATCATTTATTGCACTCCATAAATACAATATCATCTTATGGTAGGTACATTATGGGCCCAGTAGGGCATGACAATACTAGAGGTGTTTTATACATGCATAAAAAAAAAATCTGGATTTACAGTTATCGCTTAAACTTTGCTATCTATTCTATATCATAATATTCTGTTTAATTACATATTTATTTATTGTTTAATATCAACAACAACAACAACATGTTCAACTTAACATGTTATCAGTTATACATTGAACTTTTATTTAAATAATTGGAAAGTTGAACTAACAGGATGAATTTCATCCAATAAGTTCAACTTTTTGAAAAGTTGTACCTAGTTGAACCAATTGGAATATTTGTGTCCGATTAGTTCAACTGATTGAACTTATAGTTGTACTAAGTGGAATAGACCAAAAAAATTTTAATCAATTTTATGTACAACTCAGACCAAAAAAATAACTATGCCGAAATTGTTATCACAAAAAATGACTTGGGTCTTGGAAGAATGGATCCTAAGACAGATTCCTTGTATCTTCTATGGTATTTCCCCATTAAAAAAACCCCTACATAAATAAAATTTATTATGCATCAGTAGTTTGAAACGAAATCGCAAAAAAAACTGGTGATTAATTAATGCGTACTCGACAAATATGTGGGATAACTGACAGCAGACTTTATTCACGAATTCAGAGGAGTTTTCGCACCTTGAAATGTAAAGAATAATGTTGGCTATTGACCGTTAGAGCACATGTTTTTTTAGGATTTTAATGCATCGATGTGGCAAGCCCTAGAGTTCTCGATTTGTTGGTCTAATAGACAATCGAGTAAACATTTTCGAGCAATTAATGTTTGGTCTAACGGCATTCGATCTCAAGTAGGGAACTCGCAGTATTAAAGAAACTAATTAATATAATATGCTCTTTAACTGATAACATACTAACATTGACCAATATATTTTTTCCTCAGATCAACTCGTTGGTTTGGCGGTGTTGGGGGACGTGGATGGTGGACAATTTTTAATTGGTTTATTCCGATAGCTTATTACTATCAATATCAATGGACCTCAACGTACAGTCGTGCAGAATGGCGAATAGGAAGAAGATCAAACTACAAGATTACAACATACTATGATCTGCCAGTTTGCCCTAAATGCAAGGACTTTCAAGTCTGTCCATTCATAAACATGACCGTCTACTGCTTAGAAACAAAAATGAAGACTGCTATTGACAATCCATATGGAATTCTTGCTTTAGGATTTATAGTGCTCTGGGGTAAGTGACACAAAATATATACGTACTATGTACAATAATACGTAGTATGTATAATAATACGTAGGTATGTACTCTCAAATTTTAATAGCAATAGGTTTAACCTGTCACGGTTTTCACACAGGATTTTATTTTAAATTCGCGACTTAATCATGTATAACACATAATATTTTATTTACTTCGACATTTCGGAACTATTACAACGTTCATGTCTCGAAGGGACAGAAGAGACGGGTGTCAACATCTTCCAGTCACGCGAGTTTTTCTAACAGCCCGCACTCGGTTTTTATTATTTATTTGTGCACTAGGGTCGTGACCGACACACAGCACTCACGATCGATATCCGGCGACTTATAGGGCGATACTTGATGTCCCTTACATTTACACTGTCTTAGCCTTCGTCCACACGGCATTGTCCTGCGCATTTTTTGACGTATTCGATTATAAACCAATAGACAGCGGGGTCACGCGATATATTTTCATGTGTTTAAAAGACAGATAGCCGCTGTATTCACACAGCAATTGCCCTGAGAACACGTCAGTGATGGATCACGCTTTGTTGCACTTTTATATCGGCGGTTTATATTTTATATTATAGAAGACGCCGCCGATTTTGCTGCCAGAAGAACAGACGGTATTGGGTTCAACCATTGACTTATATGGACGTCGGGTCCGCGCTAAAAAGTGTCCGAACTTATAGGGCGTTAAAATCGTATACAGAGCGTCATTCACGCTTTAGTCTTCGTTTGTTCGACTGACAGCGAAGCAAGCAAAATTAGACAGTACTGTGATGACATTACAATTTAAATTCAACGTTTTAGCTTTTTCATATTCCTTTACATGTCACTACGTTTAAATAGGTTGACTTGGGACATTTTTTTCGTGGTTTTTGTATTAGACCCGTCGTCCATTTATTTGTAAGTCAATGGGTTCAACCAATGAATAAGAAGCAGTGCGCACAAACAAATTTGAAAAATTGTACGTAAAATCTGAGAAATGATGAAAAAAACGGAGCTTGTTCCAGTAAAGATATCAATAAATCGTTGTCCACAGAAGATCGTCGATCATTTCGTATTAATAAAATTATGCGTGCCCTCCTTCCAAAAGATACTTCAATACTAGACGCCGCTTGTTCGGTGTCTATTCGATAAAAAAACGTAAGAGCCATGTGAACGAGATGCATGAATACTATGCGCCACACAACACCGAAAACATTTCATTCGATTTACTTGACAAGTCCGTTGCGTATTGGATAAACGTATAGAGCTGTTTGCGTTTTTTTGCAGGACAAGGCGTTTACTGTCTTAGACCAAGTGCGGGTAGTTTGAAAAACTCGCACGGCTAGAAGATGTTGACACCCGTCTTTTCTGTCCCTTCGAGACCATGGACGTTATAATAATAATCATGTCCGAAACTCGACGTACATAAAATAATGTGTTTTTATGATTAAGTCCCGAATTTAAAATCAAATAAAGCAACAGAAAGTTGGTTTAGGGAAGTATTACTGCCACCATATGGCCACCATGCTTATTTCTCTGCATTCCATAACGCAACGCAGTATAATGCACACACAGTTATGTGATTTAGTTTTTAACTGACTGCAAAAATAGGAGGTTCTCGATTCAACTGTTCTTTTATGTACCGATTACCATGAACCTTATTTGATGATTCTTTTTTATTGGAAAGAGGGTACTGTTACAACCCTCTGTATCGGGAAACATATAAAAATGATTTGCTTAGCTATTCTTTCTGCATTTCACGTTTCCTATTTCATTTGACGCAAATGCAATAGGAAACTAAAAGCGCTTCCGACCAAAAGCCTCCACGTGCAGGCGGATTGATTGGATTTGAACGCCGTCGCGACAATTTTCATTATTGTCAAATATTTAATTAAAGGGTGTTTTTGGGGTAAATTTGTTCTATTCCTGAACCGCTCCTTAACAGTACCTCAGGAGTGGTTCCATTTCATTTTGAAGAAAAAATATATATATTCTTTATTGCACCAAATAAATACAACCGAAATATTAGTAACAGAAAGTGTGGACTCTCTAAAAGAGATCTCTTCCAGCCAACCCAGTGAGAGCTAAGGTTATAAGCGGGCAATAGCGTGCAAGAGACAGTGCGGAAAAAAAAGTACACACACATCAAGCTACACATTTTCGTATCTTGTTCTGTTGCACTGGAGGCAATTTTCGAACAAAAATGTGTAGTCTAGTGTGCCGTTGTCCGTACATAAACGTACATAAATAAAACATTTGTAAAAATACCCTTACTTACATAAATATTATAATAAATCATAATAAATAGCATTAATATGTAAATAGTGTAATACATACACATAGGTACACATATACAGGGTGTAACCTAAGTGTACAATGGAAATCCAAGAACGTATTGACTTTACTAGTTACTGTCAAATAGCAAATTGGCACTGATATTTTAGTTGTATGTTTTGTCTAATTAAATTAATTTCATTTCAAAAAATTACGATAACTCGTCGTCATCGATATGAAAATCGAGCTCGAACATCCCTAACCTCATACAAGCACTTGCATTGAAGTTGTAAATACGTGACGTAATAGATTTTATTATTTATTTACTTACAAAACTTGTACTTCTGAGCACATGTCACAAATATTATAGCGCATTTTACGGTAAAACACTAAAAGAATAGATTTTTATCCGATTTCATAGAATCACTGTAAAACGCAGCCCAGGATACATTCGTTGTTTAACAACATGAACTGTGAAAGGTGCTAGGAATGATTTTGGATTGTTATTTACATAAATTTTATTTTATTCGTGCTTAAAATTAGTACAATTATAAGATTCAGTGCTTCAGTTCATTCTTTTACATTTACAGACATTTAGTTTGTTTATTTTGCAATAATTTGACAATGTCATTGTCACTAAATTGTATGTATATGATAGGATAATAAAATAAAATTACCTTATTATCCCATTGATTATGGTTTTGTAACAAAAAAGTTTGTATTTACATTAGAAAACAAATCTTAATCAAAACTTCACTGTCTCAAAAAAGAGTGTCATCGGCCAACTCAATAATGTCTCATTGATTATGATTTTCTTAGTTTTAACAACGCTGCTATTATTAGATACCTACATACTTTATAGGGGTATGTATAGTCTAATTGCGTGGTCGGTTGGTAGTGGAAACTGATATGACTTTCAATGTGTATACCTTGAACACGATATCAGTTTCACCTGCTTAATTGCCATACGATTTGTCGCAACCACTCGCACGATTCAATTCAACTGAAAAAATATTTTAAGTGGAATCCCAAGAAATCACATTATTTTTCAATAAAGTTTTCATTTCTTTGCATTGGAATAATTTACAGAAAAAAATGAATCTGTGTCAAAAACATTGTGATCTGTTGGGAAACCATTTGAAATATTTTTTCTGTTCAATCGAATCGCGCGAGGTGCAACTGATATCGTGAACAAACTGTACAAATTAAGGTTATTTAGGTTATAAGGTAGGTTTTCGCTACCAACCGATCACACGCTCAGAGTATACAATGTTAGAGCACGATTTTAATGCCGATATCGACGAATTTTCGTATTTTTTAAATCAAATTAATTAATAGTCTTAATTGTCTACAAAAATCAATGCCGATTTACTATTTGATAGTAACTCTATACGACCTTGAATTTCCACTGCACCTTTCGGTTATACCGAATTTACATTATTATATATATTTATATATACGTTTTTTTGTATGTCAGAACATTTCGAGTACTCTTACCTCAGTTGGTCCCATAGAGACTATTGATCCCTGACGAAGACCGAATCGAATGGCATAAAAAAAAGTTTTGTAAAAATTGCCTTTTATCTTGCTGACTGTACTATTTTTCCTAAATCTGTGAATGTCGATCAAAATATCTTCAAAATTCATGGATAGTCTTCTAGAACCGTTTTCCTGTAACTACAACGATTAAGGTAGCTTGCTTAGGGTGTATTTTTTACATACGTAAAAAAAATACAATAATATGATTACTAAGACAGTTCAGCAAGAAAGTGCGCTTTTAACCTTTTCTTGAAAGAAGAGATAGACGGGCTAGACTGGACATGGGAAGGGAGTCTGTTCCACAACAGCGTTGCACGGGAATAAAAGGAGTTATCATACTTGTCGTATTGTACTATGGTAATGGGAAGAGCTAAAACGACAGTCATCGTGACGATAAATAAAAAGTCACAATAAAAATTTGACGACAGATAATCGCAGCTTCAAACGATTCTGTCGTGCAATCGACAAGGCGGCTGCAGTGATTGCCCTATTTTTTTATGATATCAAGTGACTGAATGAACAAGACGTGCACCTGGTGGTAACACGTCTATCCATAGCAATTTAAATAGCAAAGATTTGATGGGCACTGCCGCTACGTCCGGCACCCTGAAGTCCCATGTATCTGTAAATTTCACGTACACCCGTCAAAACTGCTGTTTGGCGGCAGAAATAGGTAAGGTGGCAGTACTTTCCTGGACAAACTGTTTTCACGAGGAGTTCTACAACTACTAAAAATTTGTCAATCCATAAGCAGGTAATGGACTTCGATAAAAATCATTTTCCAACATTGACTTACAAATAAATGGACGACGGGTCTAATACAAAAACCACGAAAAAAATGTCCCAAGTCAACCTATTTAAACGTAGTGACATGTAAAGGAATATGAAAAAAGCTAAAACGTTGAATTTAAATTGTAATGTCATCGCAGTACTGTCTATTTTGCTTGCTTCGCTGTCAGTCGAACAAACGAAGACTAAAGCGTGAATGACGCTCTGTATACGATTTTAACGCCTTACAAGTTCGGACGCTTTTTAGCGCGGATCCGACGTCCATATAATTGTAAGTCAATGTTTTCCAAGTACAATTTTGTGACAAATTCCAGCTATTCTATTTAGCCGCTACTGGCAACGCAAAGAGTATTACCTATACTGGATGTGGGAGTGTCGACCGGATGACATGGATATTACTTTTAGGTGGGTTTATTATCTATTGGTTTCGAATAGGAAATAACTTAAGTACATTAAAAATTGATTTGGGTCAGGTAGGTAGACTATATTGTTATTCATCTCAATTTTGCGACGAATTGTTGCAACCATTAATATTACGCAATGTTTAGGAAAATTCTGACAAAAAATGACTAAAGAAGAAGAAAGAGAAGCAATATGCCTCTGGTTAGCAAGTTAAGTTAATGGTCGTCCTACCTATCCCAAATAAAGTCAAGCTTTAATTGTATTTAAATGATTTCCCCAATCGCGAAAAAATCCGGAGAACAGGTGAGTACGAATTTCAAGACACGAGACGCAATACAACTTTGCTGCCTAGCGGAACCCACATCTTTTCACCTCACTATAGCGAGAAAAATGGTATAGATGAAAGGAAACAGTTGAACTATAAATAATAAATCAGTTTTAATATGGTTTTAATAAACAAAGTTAGTTATCGTTGTCAATTAATGTCAAAAATATTAAGAATAAAATATACCAACGGATTTATATTACATAAATAATGTTCGACAAATCGCGTAGTTCAACCATTGACTTACAAATAAATGGACGACGGGTCTAATACAAAAACCACGAAAAAAATGTCCCAAGTCAACCTATTCGAAATTTAAATTGTAATGTCATCGCAGTATCGCGCTGTCAGTCGAACAAATGAAGACTAAAGCGGAGTTTGGCGCTCTGTATACGATTTTAGCGCCTTACAAGTGCGGACACTTTTTAGCGCGGACCCGACGTCCATATTATTGTAAGTCAATGAGTTCAACGTATCATTGTCCATCGACAAATTCCAATTTCAAAAACCTTTTCGTAAAAAAACGCTTCTGCGCGCAGATTTCGAATGAGAAAGAAAGCCTTTCCGAGCTAGTGAGGTGTGAAACAATTTTGTCGTAAGATAGTCTCTACTTTGTCTCTGTTCCATGAAGCTTAGGTAAATATACTGTTTCCCATCACAGATAATAACATATTGTAATGTATGCAATAATTTATTTTTACTGTGATTTGCGGACTTAGCCCTCTAAGTTGCTGTGCTCTTGCAGTACGTTACGTGTATACCACCAATTAATGTACAGCCGATGCTCCTAAATATCTGGAGGTCTGAGATGCGCTTAAAATAAGCTTATTATAATGTTAAAAAAATGTTTTATTCGCAGTCTTGTGACTATTTACTCACTCAGTTCGTACTATGACGCGACTTTAACATTAATTTAGCAATCTTAAAATAATTACTCTGAAGCAGTGGAAACAATATTACTTCCGAATTTATTATCTAAGTATTGATTTCTAATGATTAAAAGTTAAGTAATTACGAAGATTACAATCGGAGTTGCAAAAAAAACAAAAATTTCAAACTAAATTTAATGGTTAAAATAAAAGTTTCAATATAAAGATGTCTTGTCAATGTCTTGTCGATGTCTTGTCTTGAAAGAGTGGTCAATGTTAGAACCAAAAGTGACTTAAAATTTAATGAAAAATGTAAATGCAAGTCGGGTGTCCAGTGGGCGGCTCGTTCCGCAGCGTCAGCGCCTCGTGCCACTCCACTATTGCGATGTACAATCGAGGCCGCTATTCATCAGCGATTATCATGTTACACAGGCTCGTTACAATGTTGAACTTATTTATTTACATAAATCTGTTCAATATTTTGTTTATTTTTTTATTTAATACTACATAGGAAATCATTTGTCGTTAAATAAAAATACGCGATGGTTATTTCGTGAAATTATGACAGCGACATCTATATGCTCCTTGGTGACACACAAATCACAACGTTACTGTCAACACTCAGCTTGTTTTATTTATTTTTCTTCATGAAAATGCGGAAAAACAACTGAAAACAACGTAATTTTAGTAGATTTTATGATAACATATTTTTCTTTTTTAACAGTTAAAATTCTCTGAATGTAAATAACATTAAGTACTTAAACATTATACTAAGATAAGACTATTCAAAAATAAAGGATGGCATTGTATAGTTCTTCTTATTTTTAGTAAGGAATACACAATATTGGGCAATCATTCGTTTTTTCAATCACTTTAGCAATAATACAGTACTTGGTTGACAGGCTTGTCATGGTACGAATATGAGTAACATTATAATAAGCTTACATTGAAATAAGATTGTTTTTGGAAAGGTTATGATAGGCACCCAGACCTCTTAACGACCTTTTGGTTCTGAGAGTCTCCTTTCATATACAACAGGAAAATTTAAAGGAACTCCCGCTTTTTTTCGGTTGATATTTGGCTTAACGCCTTTATGGACAATAACGGCGTTAAATGAAAAATTCGAATATGGACAGTACGGGCTATCCCGTTTCGATATATGAATCTTATAAAAACTACTACGGGCTTTAGCGTGCGAATTGCAAGTGCTTTCTTTGTAGTTGCCGCCTACTGCTTCTCCATAGAGAAGTATCAGCAATGTACTGACAAAATTGAATGATTTATTTGAGATACATTTGTGGACGTTACACACACATATTTAATATGTGCATACCAAGACAGTACGGTGAATACCGACGTGTTTTTATGAGGTGATGTAAGGCCGTACATGTCAGTGCGTCGCCAGCGACTGCCTTTTGTGGTCGTGTAGTTTGTTTTCGCGCTGGAACTTTCTGACAGTAAAAAATCCCTCATTTTTTTCTCTAAATGCATAGTTTTTCAGTAATTCAATAAACCAATAATGTGTACTGCAGAAACCCTATTCTATAATAAATAACAATGAGACGTGTTTTCACACTTTAAATCCGGTTAGTCAGGTAGATATTTTCTGGCATCTAGGTGAAATGAATTACTTAATTTTCGTTTAAATTTGATGAATAACTAAACGACACATACAGTGTACTATTAGTGATCAAAATCACCTCTGTTACTACTTTCCAGACTGTGATTTAATTATTCAAATGGTAAATAAATGACCTTCGTCACTGCTTAAATATAATCTAATTAGTAATTATTTCTTTTGTAATTGTTAGTACATAACAACTTTTGTCTATTTACACTGCAAGGGTTATGCTATTTTACGGTGTACTCTATTGTATAGATTCAGACTTTTGTGCTGAAATAAATGTAATAAAATCACTGTACTACTGTCATAGCCGTACTTACTTATGCACAAGAAACATTTGCACAAACTGTTTACAGTGCTCAGGGATCAGCCGTCAGTGATAAAGCGTAATAATTATGTTGAATCCATATGGTCACTATGGCATAAAGAAAAGTCAAAACGTCAGTTTCTAATGTCACAACAAAGAAGTCGCACCAAAATTAACTTCAAGCTCACTGGTTGAAAGTTTTCTTGTCACCGATCTACTCAGAACTGAAGAACAAAATAGACTGTTAAGGGCATTGACTTACAAATAAATGGACGACGGGTCTAATACAAAAACCACGAAAAAAATGTCCCAAGTCAACCTATTCGAAATTTAAATTGTAATGTCATCGCAGTATCGCGCTGTCAGTAGAACAAATGAAGACTAAAGCGGAGTGTCGCGCTCTGTATACGATTTTAGCGCCTTACAAGTGCGGACACTTTTTAGCGCGGACCCGACGTCCATATAATTGTAAGTCAATGGTTAAGGGGACAGTTATTTTAGGGTATCGACTGTACTATTTCAAATTTGTTATGTGATGCGCAATATACATTTGAATTAAATAAAAAATTGTGTAACAAATATGAGACTCTACGATAGCGTAACGGAGTATACACATTCGATGGAGCTTTTATTACAATTAGGGTCCAAGAGATTTATGGTTATTTTCTAAGGGTTCGCATGTTAATTCCAAAAATGCTGACACCCTTTTATTTACACACAGGCTCTGGGATTAAGTAAAAATCGTGATAACCTTTTTTTATTTACACCTATAGGCTATGCTCTGTCAGAGTAAGCAAAAATTGTTATACCATATTGATACCCAACTCTGGGTATAACCAAATATTGCTATTAACACCCTTTTGTTTACACTCAGGCACAAGGGGTAAGGAAAAATTAAAAATACCATTTTATTTACAAGCTTTGGGTGTGAGCCAAAATTGTAACACCCTTTTACTTACACTCAGAGCCTGGGTATTCTTATTTTCTAGTTATGCTTATGTACGCCCAGACTCACGAGGGTAAGCTAAAATTGTAACACCCTTTTACTTACACCCAGAGCCTGGGTATGCTTGTTTATTTATTTATTTTGTTCTCTGGTTAGGCTTGTCTACGCCCAGGCTCCTGAGGGTAAGCAAAAATTGTAATACTCTTTTATTTACACCTATAGCCTGAGTATGCTTAGCGCCCAGTTACACGACACAAAAAATTTCGTGCGGCCGCCGCCCACTAACCGCCCAGTCACTAGAATCTGTATTATATTTACTAGGCAACAACATTTAAAGTCCTCGGAATAATATAGCCGCGTGGACACAGACCACAGACAAGCCAGCCTCTCAGTTAAAACGTAAATGCTAAATAAATAGAGCGTATTTTGCCATGACAGTTCGGTCTATGAACACGTGCACGCGGTCGTTGCGCAGCAGGCGCGGGACATGAGGACGATGAAATTCGTGTTGAATAAACGCGCCCATATTCTCTGCGGGTTCGCAAGTTCAGTACAGAAATGCTGACACCCTTTAATTACACACAGGCTCAGGGTGTAACCAAAAATTGTAACACCCATTACACCTAGGTTCTAGGAGTAAGCCCATATACAAAATAAACAGACCGCAATCTCCTAAATTTCGTATTTTTGCAATTACTTATAAATATAAGATAATTTGAAAAGTGCAGACAATTAGTCTCAAAAACAGAATACCGAGCTGCGTAGTAAGTAATATAGAAATTATCTCGAACATCCAGTCCATGACTTCCCACAAAAACTGATGTTTTTGGAACAACTTGTAAATCGACCAACTTCAGAGTTGTTTTCTGTACAAAAAAACTTCGACCATTTGGGGTGTACAAAAAAAGACAAAAGAAAAAGTAATAACAAATTTAAAACACATACAAAATTTCGTGAGGTCCGCTGGTTCGCTCCGTGGCTTAGTTGGCATAGCGTCTGGCACGGTTTGCTAGAAGACGTCGGTTCGAATCCGGCCGGATCATAGAGATTTTTTCTAAGTATTCGATCTTTATATTAATATTATAACAAACTAATGGAGTAATTTCACATAAAAAATATTTAAATGTGAATTCAATAAAAATTTCAAATACAGTGAATAGCTACGTCTGTAGCCGGAGCTGGTAGCTGTAAAGGTATGTAACTGGGTGACGAAATACATTCATAGAGTTCTCATAGATGGCGCACCGGCTAAAAAGTCGTTGAAAAATGAAATACAAAGATACGACAACAAGCAACATGCACAACGCAATGCACAAGCAACAAGCAACAAGCACATGGAGAAGTTCGTACGGTCCGCTGGTTCGCTCCGTGGCTAAGTTGGCATAGCGTCTGGGGCATGGTTTACTAAAAGACGTCGGTTCGAATCCGACTGGATCGAAGGATTTTTTCTAACAAATTTAAACCTTTTGAAAATAGGCGAGGGAGCTAGAAAACAAGTTTACGACTAGAATGAGCAGAATCAGGGGTTCTGGCAACATGAAAAGTTTTAGCGATCAGGGTTTCTACTGAGAACATCCGCTAGGAGAATACGGTCTGTTGATTATATTATTATTCTTAGCTTCAAAGGACTCGACAGGTATTTTTATTTGCAGGCCAGACTTTGTACAAGAGCAAAAGAAAATGGTGATAAAATATTTGATTAAAGCATTTGTTATTTCATTTATTTTGTTGTTTTACGTGAGTATTTTTGTGGTTAATTTTGGTCAAGCAAACCGGTGGGCGGCAAAGCAGATGACATTGAATTTGTCACTCTGTTTTATTTATTTTTCCAGCAACAGTTTAAATTTCATTGCTCTAAGACACAGAGAGAAATAAGGGCGTGATGCTCCCAGGTCGGTCTCAAGAGCATTGCAATTAATTCATACCTTATTTAATTCGCAATTGCATAAACGCAACGCAATACCCTCAGAGCTTAGCACTAGGAAAGCCCTGTATCGCGGTTGCCATGGACACACACACAGATAACCACAAATTACACCCAAACTTACGAGAGAAATAAATGAAGGACGTACACATATTTCTTCCGGCCTGGGAATCGAACCCAGGACCTCTGCGTGACAGTCCGGCATGGTAACCGTTCGGCCACAGAGACAGTTAAATAGCTTTCAATATACAGTGATTCTATTCCCTCGGTAAACTGTGTTCGGCTGTCGTCGGGTTTTATTCAGTTGCCCTTTGGTACAGACCGGACGCTATCAGTCGACTTAGAAGTATATACAGATGCTATTACATTTTTTAACCGACTTCAAAAACGGAGGTTTTTTTGTATATATGTTACACTATAACTCCATTTACACGGCATTTGTGAACCTTTTTTGATGATTCTTTTTTGTTGGAAAGAGGGTACCTCAGAAGTGGTCTCATTTAAATTTGAAGAAAATATCCCACCGCTATGGGTGACAAACTTGGGGATGAACGCATTTTGAGGTCGATTTTTTTAGTATTCTGTACTGATAGTTATTATTTTTTATACAATGGAAGAAAAGCCGCTAAAGTCACAGGCACAAGAGATAATACTTGTATTTTTTACAAGAAGCCGATACCTGGTCGTCACATCGCGGAAAGTGATTATTCCATCGATGCCAAATATACTAACATGGCTATGTCAGATGAAGAAAAGCGTTCAGATCCGGATTGAATTGAAATGATTAATAACCAGAAAAGTATTTATTTTTAGTTAAAAGAAGCACGCTTCACTTACTTTATATTTTTGTTAACTTGATATTGACATTATTAAAAATAGGGAAATAGTTTTACAACTCTATATATGTAGTTCACACGGAAATCAAAACAAAGTACGTAGTTCAAAATTCAAATTATTATACATTTTAAATCTAATAATGGGCGTGGAAACTAATATTCGCGTGCATTTGGAATGACAGGTACACTGAGAAAAGAGAAGCACTGTACATTATCTTTCTCGTCCATCGGTTTATGCTGGCCCTTAATATGATTTTCTGTCATTTTACTGAATTCATTGATGCTGGAAAGTTAAAACCTCTACGTGCATCTGGAGAATATTACAGAAGAACGATTTAAAATACACTTCCGGACACATAATTCGAGCCATCACGTATTTTCAGTATTAAGTGCCCTAAGCTTAAACAATGTTTGATTGATCAAAAACCATAATGCAATTTTGAAACTAGTATACTGTACATCTTTTCTACAAGTTCTTCTTGGAAATTTGGATTTGCAAAACGAGGAAAAACTTTTTCTTCGATGATAACACTATTTTTGTATTCTAGCATTTTATGACTAAAATGCGAGGTGGCTCGAATCATGTGTCCGGGAGTATATTTAAGAAAAAAGCCCTAACTTATTACTTACTAGATGAAAAACTAGAAAGTTTCAGCTTTCCAGTGTCGTTATAACCATAAATCATCGAGACCGTTTATTGGTGGTCATACTAGCATGTCACGTTGATAGGAGATTGGGTCTGAACAGTTGCATTGCGTCCAACGACGAGTAGCAGCTGCTTGGACTGCCACACTGAGCGCTCGGTTCTGGAGGCTAGCGGGATCCGAAGCACGCTGCACCGCTAGCCGACCGTGGGAAGTTGGGGGCCCAAGTAGCGGGAAATCCACCCGTGAAAGGCTGCCCGATGCAGTCTCCGATTGGGACAATGCCAATCTTGTCAAATTTAACGCTACCAAAACGCAGGCGTGTCTTTTCTCCACTAAACGGAGTCCTTTTCACCTGACTCCGACTTTTCGTGATATATCCATACCGATAGCCGACCGTCTTCACCTACTTGGAATGGATCTGTCGTCCAATCTGAACTTCGGCAGATACATTGAATCAGTGGCCAAAAATGCAGCCAAGAAGCTTGGCATCCTTTCCAAGGTGAGGCGTTACTTCACACCGGGACAGTTGCTTCAGCTGTACCAAGTACATGTCCGGTCGTCTATGGAGTACTGCTGCCACTTATGGGATGACTCTGCTAAATACCAACTGGCCACCTTGGATTCATTTTATTATCATTTTGGATTACTGCCTCCGTGGCCGAACGGTTACCATGCCGGACTGCCACGCAGAGGTCCCAGGTTCGATTCCCGGGCCGGGAGAAATGTTTGTATGGCTTACATTTATTTCTCTCGTGAGTTTGGGTGTAATTTGTGGTTGTCTATGTGTGTGTCCATGGCACCCGCGACACAGGGTTTCCCTAGTGCGGGGCTATGTTGAGTGTGTGCGTTATTTATTATTTATTTATTTATTTATTCAATAGACAAGCGTGTTAAGAGGCTTATAGTAGTGACTCGGAATTAGTATAGGCGAAGCTGCAGAGCCTTGAACACCGCCGTAGAGTTGCCAGCTTATCGGTATTGTACAGGATATATCACCGAGAGTCTGCGATGGAATTGCATAATTTGATTCCGCCTTCCCCTTTCCATCATCGAGAGACTAGACGTGGGCAGGAATTCCACCCCTATGTTGTGGATATTCCCCGGATTCGTACGAAGCGTTTCGCTTCCACATTTGTATGGCGAGCGGCTGGGGAGTGGAATTCCCTGCCTTGCAGACTTGTTCCCCGAACGCTATAACTTGGACTTTTTCAAGGCGAGAGTGAATAGGCATTATTTGGGTGTGCATGCTACATCCTCGACCTCATCGTCACTTTCCATCAGGTGAGATGGAGGTCAAATGCGCACTTATTTTGTTTTTATAAAAAAAAAATTACCACCTATACAAACAATTCTTATTGGTCATATCAGTATGACATGCTAGTGTGACCACCAATAAACGGCCATCGTCGACAACTCATAGGGCATAGGCCTTACTTCGGCACACTTGCCCAAGTATGGCCTATGTGGATTGGGAACTTCACACTTCAACGTGCAGCAGGTCGATTCAGAACCTTACGATAACTCTGTTGTCGACCGATTCGATTTGATATCGTGCGATTTCTTTTCATTTTTATTTACAATAACCAAATCGAACGTCAAACCGTCGCATTCGAAACCGAACCGGAATGACGTCACACCCTTTCGATTACTAATACTTCTCGACCGGCAAATTGCTCGACTTATTGTTTACAAAGCAAGAATGTAATATGGAAATATTTTATTATTTTAAACAAAATCTGGATTTGTTCAATTTTATTAATTTATTTTAATGCAAGCCAAAGATATTCCTATATTTTAGGTCTTTTAAAGTCTTAACAATATACATAAAAGGATTTCATTTTTCTTATAATCTATATTCGCCGACTAACTCCGTAAACGTTGTTGGATAACGATATCGCATCCGAATACGAAACGAAAGTTCTGAATCGGGGTCCTGGTTTCATTACTATATTTTCATTCATCGTTAACGAGAGGTAATTTGGAAATGAATGTTAGATTATATACCGCCACAGAGAATCAAATTGTCGAACTTAATACCAATGGTCATTCACTAGTTATAAAGCTATCAACTTCTAGACAATTAAAGTCCATATAAATAATCTTTGCTATAATTGGAATATTGTCAAATAAAAATATGGCGTTTATTTTATTTATGATA